TATTGGACAGAGACATGACCACAATTGTGTCAAAATGAAAATATCCCACTAAAAGCACAGCAACCGCGACTGCATTCCAGGGATTTTGAGTGTATGAAGGCTTTGACCCCGAAACTCGATGAGAAAATGTCGCCGAGGGTAGTTTGACCGCTCAACACGTTCCCAGCGAACTAAGTCATACCGTAAGTGTCCTATGGTGCTTAGCAATGTTGACGCGATTTTCGGCAATGCTGATAGCCATTCTATTCTTCTCTTCGAGATCTTCGCCGATTTCACGCCGTCCCACGAGCGTCATCAGACCGGCGTAGAACGTCATCTGGAAGGAAAACATTAACTACTTTTGGATTCTTATGAACATCCCAGGAAAGAGAGCCCAGGCTGTTCTGCTCGGCTCAAAAAAAGCAGCACTCAGAATTCACAGACTTCAGAATTTCGAATTTCACAGGCGGCAGGGAGGTGGGGGGGGGGTGGTGCAACGCTGGCCTGTCCTCCATCTTCTTTCGAAGGAGCCATACGACAAATATCGTGGAAAACGAGCTAGCGCCACGGCCACACCCTGCCCCTCACAAACAACAGCATCCACCGCGGACAAAATCGTGCGTGGATATGGCGCTGCTAAAGCCTTCTCCTCGACCTGGGGGAAAGCCTCGAGAAAAAGTTCATCGTGGGGGAAAGCCTCGAGAAAAAGTTCATCAGTCGTGTGTGCGTGCTGACTTTTTCGAAACGGAAAGAGAGGTTCAACAAGGGTCCCAGAAGCGGGTATTATGCAGGCAATCAAGTAACTATCAACGTTAAACCTTACCTGATAGACGAACGCGACGCACATGGACAGCATGTTGCCGGTACAAAGCAGCGTGATCTCCGGGGATGAGGTGAACGAACCGACGGCGTCAGCAAAAACGTTGGTTAGACACGAGATGAGAATTGCTGGGCCGACTTCCGACAGTACCTGTAAAGGCGTGTGGGCTAAATTAGCATCTAACGAAGGCAAGAAATCCAGATGAATATGTGAGAATATACGGCTTTTCGTTCAAACATGAAACAGCTGCCCAAGTTGAACATTAGGATAGTAAGCAGTACCAATATTTGGCTCCCCCTCATTGGTGCGCCTTTTGCAGAGATGCAAAGGACAATTGATAGGCCTAACCTCGCCCATGAGATCAACCGAGATTGTTATGGGGTGCTTAGACCAAGGCGTATTCGACGTAAGCGCATACCTCACTCATTCGCTGACCAACACTGTCCTTCTTCCGCGGCGTTTCTCGCATATGTTCTGTAACCCGCTGCCATTCGTGAATCATTAGATACGATGAGTCGACACCTGCAAAGAAACTTCGATCCTTATTCTGTGTCGTGTGATCATATAATCCTAATTTCCTTTTTTCGCAATGACAAGTGTCATTAATTAACCTTACTCTTACCTACTACTTACTACAATACTAACTTTACTAACTTGACTTACACCTAAATGACACGTTGCTTCATAGCACTCGTAGGTAAGATTGACAACTATGATCAAACTGGAGCAGCTCCACAACTTTTCAATTCAATTACCTCTTCTGTGGCAAGCAGCCTGATAACCAGTGGTTGAGGCAGTGTTACACTCTTCACTTACTATTATACAGAGATCGCGGCAAATGTCTACAGTTATAGCGGAGGACTTGTGCACTCTCACAACCCTCTCCAGAGTCCATGAGCCCATCCCACTCGTTGCAAGTGATGCAAAGAAAATGGATGTCAAGCTCCTTTCCTCTTCCTACGCCCTCTTCATCGTCTGGTCTCTCTTCTGAGCGCTCAGTGTTTCTTCGCCCATATGCTCTCACATTGCTCAAAGTCAATTACATGCAAGAGGACACTGAGGCGGCTCTTTTTCGCTTATTTTTTCCCCTAGCGAGCCAGTAAACAGCTGCTGTCAAACTTACCGATGGAGAGAACGAGGAACGGTATAACACAGAGGATGGAAGCGAACCGTATGCCACACATGAACATCATGGCCAAAGCTGTTGAGCACGAAAGTAAGGGAGTAAGGCAAGCCATTATAGCCAGAGCGATCTTAAAGCTCATCAGTTAGTGAGAGCAACTCTTTGAGAAGACTACATTAACTCACCTTGTACCAATTTTCTTGATGCATGTACAGAGCTCTTGTCATCACTGATATGATACTGCACACGCACATGATCACAAAGCCTACCACCAGATACGGTATCATGATAGTTCCGCCACGGACCATTTCGTTTTCTATGTAAGACTGCGACAAGGAAAAGATTTTGACGAGGGGCGAGTGCCATTTACTGGAAAAGCTTATTTGCTATGCAGCTTAACAGAGGGCAACAACAAAGAGGAACTAGGTAAATTACAAATATCGTAAATTACAGATATCGGAAGCCGAAAACCGGAGTCAATTATAGGAATAAGTGAGGAAGTACGTACGCAGCAATCGAAACTGCTTTCAGTTTGTGCAGTTTCGACTGCGGACATAGGGAAACCAAAAACGGAAATAATCAAACAGATCATATCGTGAGGTGTTTTGGAGATCGGAAATCGGAACAACTGAGATTGCCGAGGAATCGGATTTCCCGCAGAATTCAGAGAAGAGAAAATTGGCACTATTCACCCTTTGCCACCTCTCTCTTCGAAACTCAGGCTAGAATTTCACATTTCAACTTACTACCGGAAGCAAGTTTGGCTTGTTACTTGTTAACAAGGCTAACTTGACTTCGCGAATGAGAATATGACATCCGCTGCTTCAGGCGTTTTTGCGGCCAGCGCTCTTTACGGTTGCCTTCACGTCGGGTTATAGCTGTTTTCGGTAAAGCGGCAATACCTCCCCTTGACGAGGCAGGGATAGCCGAGTGGTTAAGAGTGTAGACTCATAATCTCACTCTGAGCCACGAGTTCGATCCCTGCCGAGGCACAAACCTGCCTTGCAAAATTGCAAAAATGGGGACGATACCAGCGTCAGGCCCAGG